ACCGGCTACTGCACTCCAGTCTGGGCGACAGAGTGAGACTCCAACTCAAAAAAAAAAAAAAAAAAAAGAAATAATATTGATTATGTAGTACACATCAACAATTTTAAACACTATGAACAGACAAGATTATTTTATAAAAATAAAAAATGTAAAGATGCTTGAATTTATTAACTGACATATTTTCTGTTTTTGATTTGATGTTCCAGTTTTCAAATGACTTATATTTTTCATGAGTAAGAGTTTAAATTCTAGATTTTTAATTTGTAATAATGTTTTCTTTCACAGCAATTTGAGATTTTTGATGATTGCTTTAGCATATGCCATACCACTTGGTGTATTCGCTGGCTGGTCTGGAGTTCTGGACTTAATTTTAACACCAGTACATGTCAGCCAAGTAAGTATTTTATTTCTTTATATATTGTAGGCATTGGGGTTCATTTAATGTATAAACACTGGTTATATAGTGTTAACTTCAAGGACTAGGCAAAACATTATCCTATATTATTAATAACATTATTGCAAAAGCAAGATCTTTATGGAACAGTTAAAAACAATGTTGATTTTTTTTCCCCTTGATTTTGATAACAGCTGTGAATTTGACATTTCTTCAGGCATTGCTAATGATGCTGATAAAAAAGAAAGGAAAATATTAGTTTTGTTAACTCAGTATTCTTTATTCTTGCTTCATACTTTATAAAGAAGACTAAGATACCATCATCAAATAAGTAGCCATTCCAACATCTAATTCCTTCCTTTCTCTCTGGTCTTGGAATAAGGATATTTTATTTCTTTAAAAAATAACCATTCCACCTATATATGCTTCTCTTTTCTTCCAGACAGCATGGTAGAAAGAGGTAGAGAGGAATGTGGAAGGACAAATGGAAGAAACCAACACATCGATATGATATTCCATTATATGAATAAAAAACAATTTGTTCATTCTACTTTTGGTGAACATTTGAATTGTTTACCATTCTGACAGTCACAAACAGAGCTGTATGAACATTTCCATATGTGTCTCTTGATATGCCTCTATACACATTTCTGCTGGATAGATATCTAGGAACGGAATTGCTGATTGTAGTGTATGCCTACTTCAGTAAATGATGCCAAACTTGTCCAAAGAGGTTGTATCCATTTACATTTCTACCATCTGTACATGAAATTTCTTATTGTTCCACATTATTACCACTTATGTGGTATTATTACTATTTTTCATTTGAGACATACTGATGGCTGTGCAGTTAATATGTCATTTTAGTGACTTCTGTGGCATCTCTTCCAGTGTTAACTGGATATTTAAATATCCTCCTCTCTTGTGACATACCTGTTCAAGTCTCTTGCCCACTATTGGGCTACCTTTTTCCTTACTGGTATGTAAAAAAGAGAGCTGTCCAGAAGGGCGCTTCCCAAAAAACTCTGTGAGATCCCAGTAAGTCTTGGCTGAGAAATGGACTGCACATATAAAGGGCAAAGCTACTAGAGGCTTAACAGAGAGACTGCTGTGGGTTGGAAACAACAAAGATAGCATAGGTCAAGCAGTGTCTTGGAGTTCTGGCCCAGCCAGAATGATAATACCTCATTAACACTTGTTAATATCCTGGGCTCCTGCTAAGATACCAGAAAGGTCAAGCTGTAGAATTAAGGGCCATGCCCTAGATAGAGGAAGGCTTACTCCAGTTAGACCTATCATAAGCAAAGACAGAAGTCTGAAGAGGAGGTCGCTTGATGATTGAGTCCTACTAAGTGAAAGGGACTTGGGAAACTCTTTGGTTTCTACTTATCTACCCTAATAAGGCACAAAACACAATGATCTGCTAGTAATTGAACTTCCTACTAGAACAAAAATTACCTACCTTAGAGAAAGATAAAAGAACCCAGAATCTCTATATTGTACAATCTATAGCATACTGTATACAATTTAAAGAAAAGCACATTAGGCATGCAGAGAAACAGGAAAGTATCACCTGTGTACATATTTTTTAAAGCGGTCAATAGAAATCGACCTTTAGTCTAGATGTTGGATATAGCAGACTGAGGCTGTAATGCAAAAAAGAGAGAGAAATATTTGCTTGCTCCAAGTTTATATTTCCCTATGTTATCTTATATAACTGTATTGTCCAGTACAGTGGTCACTAGGCGCCTATGGCTATTTAATTGACATTTAAATGAGTTGAAGTGAAATAAAATTAAAAATTCATTTTCTCAGTTGGACTAGAATTCTCAAGCGCTCAAAAGTCACATGAGACTAGTGGCTATCATATTGTATAGTAGAGACAGAAAGTTACCATTATCTCAATTGTCTTAATTATTCTAGTATTACAAGTTTTATTATTTAGTAAAGTAAATATTACCCTTTGTTGGGATTTTTATTGAAATTTTTAAAATCTATGAATTATTTTGAGAATTAACTTCTTTATAATATTGAGTTTTCCGAATCATGATCTTTGTTTTATGTATGTTTTTTTTTCAATTTTATTTTACCTAAACATTTCTTTTTTAAAAAATTTATTTATTTATTTTAATTATAAAGATGTGGGGTACAATTCAGGGTTAGGTATACAAACATTGATTATGCAGGTACCCTTGTTGATGAGGTATGCCCCTCCTCCCCTAGCAGTTTCCCTCAACTGCCAATCCTACCCCCCACCCCTGACAGTTCTAAATAATGATCTTTGTATTTTTCTTCACTTAGGTCCCAATGTCTCTGAATAATGCTTTATAATTTTCTGCAAAGATATCATGTCTATATTTATTAGATTTATTCCCAGGTATTTGATACTTTTTGAAGCTATTATAATTGGTAACTTTAAATTTTTGTGGTTTTTTAAAAAATTATTCTTTTATTTATATATAACAATCGAGCATATCTTAAGGGGGTATCTGTGATATTTTGATACCTGTATAAAGTCTGTAATGCTCAAATTGGAGTATTGGGATATTCATCATCTCAAACATTTTTCTTTGTTTTGTAAACATTACAGTTCTTCTCTTCTAGCTATTTTGTTTTAATTTACTGATTTATTTATTTTGAGTTGGGTCTCACTCTGTCACCCAGGCTGAAATGCAGTGTCATCGTAATGGCTCACCATAGCCTTGACCTCCTGGACTCAGGCAGTCCTTCTACCTTAGCCTCCCAAGTAGCTGGGACTATGGGCGTGCACCACCATGTTCTGCTATTTTTTTATTTTTCTGCTGAGGAAGGTCTTGCTGTGTTGCCTAGGCTGGTCTTGAACTCCTGGGCTCAGGCAGTTCTCCCACCTCAGCCTTCCAAAGTGCCGAGATTACAGTCGTGAGACATGGTACCCAGCTCTTCTAGCTGTTTTGAAATATACAATTAAAATTAGTGTTAACTGTAATTTCCCTACTGTGCTATTGAATACTAGAACTTATTCTTTCTATCCAAATGTATTTTTGTATCCCTTAATCAACATCTCTTCATCCCCACTTCCCCTTTCCTGCCCTTGGTTATCAGTCTACTCTCTACCTTCATGAAATTCACTTTTTTTTTTTTTAGTTGGGGTCACTCTGTCACCCAGGCTGGAATGCAGTGTCACAATCACAGCTCACCACAACCTTGACCTCCTGGGCCCAGGCCTTCCTTCCACTTCAGCCTCCCAAGTAGCTGGGGCTACCACCAAGCCTGGCTAATTTTTAAAAATTTTTATAGAGACGAGGTCTTGCTGTGTTGCCTAGGCTGGTCTCGAACTCCTGGGCTCAAGCACTCCTCCCACCTCAGCCTTCCAAAGTGCTAGGATTACAGGTGTTAGCTACTGCGCCTAGCCAAAATTCACTTTGAATGAGAACATGCAGTATTTGTCTTTCTGTGCCTGGCTTATTTCACTTAACATAATGAACTCCAGTTCCATCCATGTTGCTGCAAGTGACAGGATTTAATTCTTTTTTATGGCTGAATAATATTCTATTGTGTATATATACCACATTTTCTTTATCCATTTATGGGCACTTAGATTGACTCCATGTCTTGGCTACTGTGAATAGTGCTGCAGTAAACATAGAAGTGCAGATGTCTCTTCAATATACTGATTTCCTTTCTTATAGTTATATACCCATCAGTCAGATTGCTGGTTATATTTTTGTGAGGAACTGCCATACTGTTTTTCTTTTTTTTTGAGTTAGAGTCTCATCACTCTGTCGCCCAGACTGGAGTGCAGTGGCCACTCCTGGCCACCGCAGCCTTGACCTGCTGGGGCTCCGGCGATCCTTCCGCCTC